TAAAATATAACAAAGCTACAAATAAAGTAAGGTCTAACATTAGTTTTCAGGCACTGAAATGTAATGTGTAAAATAACACTGCATAGTGTTCACTGTATAAATTAAATATAGATTAATCTTTGCTAAAGCTGTGTTTTGTTGTTTGATTAACATTACTGACACAGACAGCAGCAGGTATTTATTGGCTGCTGGCCCTTTAAGACCTGACAATCTAATGTAATGATACACATCCAATTTCTTTGTTTGTGTTCACTTCACTTAAGACATAACCAGCTGTTTAAGATAATAAGCTATTTTGAGGTAAGTGTGTGCGTGTGCGCACAAATAACAGCACGTCAGTACCAAATTCTTTCGCCTCTTCTTGCGCTTGAATGATTTAAAACGCTTGACTGTTTAAATCAGCAAGACATAGAAATGCATGCAAATGATCAACTAAGATCACTTTAACCACTACAAGCGAGTGGACAATGCAAATCAAGGAAGGGATTTTATTTCACTATTCAAGATGCAGTGATACATTTTGGTAGCCTGACTGGAAAACACAATAGCCCCGGGACATCAGGCTAACGATTTTGCGTGCCCTGCATTTATTATCAATGTTGAAAACAGTTATGCTGCTCAATATTTTGTGGAAACCATGAAGGTTCAAAAGAACAGCATTTATTTGAAATGGAAATCTTATGAAACAATGTAAAAGTTTCTTTTGATCAATTTAATGCGTGTTTGCTGAATAAAAGTAATTGCTTTTTTTTTTTTTAAATGTACCGACCCCAAACAAATTCTAAGCAAAGCCTCATTGATGGATGTTTTATGTATGTTTGGATTTCTGTACATTTTACGTTAACATGAAATCAGAATTTTGAATTTGATGCACATTTCTGCACAATTTACCAGTGCCCATTATTCCAAAAACGTTTGCCTTTGTAATGAAACTGTATTAACGTTTCTTTTTTGTTATTTATTTATTTTAGGGCTGTCAATCATAATTTTTTAAAATCTGATTAATCACATCCTTTTTCTGTGATTAATCGCAATTAATCGCACACTTCATGAAATTAAGCATAGACCATTTATCTTGTTTCAAATGTTTATTTTGTCATCATTTGCTATATCCAGCAAAGTAAACCAAAAGATTGAAGGGTGATTCTCAAAAATCTATATTTTCTGCAAGCTTTTTTCAAGATAAATTTAGATGTCTAAAGATGTTAAATGTTAAAGGGTTAGAATAGAAATTGTGCTTCATGTTAGAATGAGCCGTTTTAGGGGGGCGTGGCAGAGTCTTAACTTTGATAAAGAATATCTCTTTGGTTTTGAGACTTTAGTCTTTGCAGCTTCAGGGATCTTATCTATGCACAATCAGCTTGTAACACTCCAAAGAGAAAGGAAAACTTGAAATCGCATCATATGACCCCTTTAACGCGTAACACCGGGCGTCAGCGTCGACAGCTTGATGGAGGGCGTTTCTGAAGCTTGGTGCTGACGCGACGTCATAGTGACAACAGCCAATCACATTAGTCTTCTGGTGTTGCATGAACGTTATTGGCTAGCGTCTGCGCAAGGGTATTTGCATAAGGCGATCTGATTGGCTGACGCCTGCGTTGGTGCTTGAAAAGTTGAAAAGTTTTCAACCTCTTCCGCGAGTAACGGACACAACCCGACGCGATGGACCCACAATTAATTTCGCCAACGCTTGACGTCACTCCATTCAAAGTAAACGAGAGGCGTTGACGCCCCGTGTGAATGGGGCGTAAAATTAATCGCATGCGTTAACGATGACAGCCCTAATTTCTTTGAATATATATTCACTATGAAAGGCATCCCATTATCACTTTAAAATGAAGTTTAATGTTTTTATGTGGTTTTGTGGGGCAACATGTTAATGCCAGAAAGTTACAAGGGGAAAAAAAAACAGTACTAGACTACTGCATGGAATGAAAAGCCTGGACTCTAATTGTGTGATTTCTGTAGGTGACCTAAAGCACATCACTAAACTGAAGCCGTGGGGTTTGCTGGATGTTCTGATGGATAAATACGAGTGGCCTCTGGAGGAGGCAGAGACCTTCACTGATTTCCTGATTCCAATGCTGGAGCTCCTGCCAGAGAAAAGAGCCACTGCTGCCGATTGTCTGCGACACCCTTGGCTTGCCCTCTAGTGGCTTCTAGCCGCCACTGCGCATACTTCAGGCCATCTCTCTCTGAACTCAAGAAACTGCAACAGATCACTTTCCAGTTCATAGAGCATACCGGCGTTGTTATTTTTCTTCTGTTAATCTGAGTGATTTCATTTGCTTGGCTCACCAGAGGAATAGCAAACCTGTCTGTTTTTGTTCTAGCTGCTTTCTTCTACTCTTTTTCAGAGTTGAGAGGTTTTACGTGAGGATCACACCCGTCTTGATCCCACTGCCGTCCTTTTTATTTTGGCAAAGGATGAAATTTAGACCTAGGAGGCGCCTGTTTAGGTACTTGGGGTATTTTCTGAAGTCGTAAAAAATGAAAATGGAGGTCTGTTTTTTTGCAGTACTAACATGAGATGCAGTCCAGTCCTCCCGAGTACTTGCGACTCGGACTGCAGTGCGATGCACAAGAGATTATTTTGTTACTCATAGTTTTCTGAGTGGGAAAGGAATGGTGGTTTATGGAAAGGGAATTGTTTAGTTTACCCTTATGACTAGAGTATAAATTAAGATGTTTCTGTTCTGCGTCAAGATTCGCCACACCTCTGTGTTTCTCTCTCAACTATACAAGTGTCTTCTGTATGTGTGTGTGTGTGTGTGTGTGTGTGTGTTTATTAGTTCAGTAGGTTTTGATCTTGTCTGTCTCAGATTAGATGTTAAAGAGCTGAAGTCTTCTCACTCATGGTCAGTACATTTTGTGTACAAGAAGCTTCCACATAAAGTGAGTAACTGTTAAGGGCCATCAAAAGTGATATTTAGCGGGGGGGAAACATTTGTGAGTGTGTGTTGTACGTATGATTTATGTGTGCGCGCATGTGCATGCATGTGTGTCTGTATATATGTGTACCAAAGAGTTTGCCTTGATCTGTATATTACAGCCATGTACAGTTTTTAAAGAAATCCTACTATTGCATCCAAGCTAAGATTATTTAGCTGGATAGAAGTGTTTTAATAAAGCATTTGGAAGATGGGTGCACCTGTTGGTCTAATTTGCTGTTTTCAAAAAATGTAAAATGTTATAAAATGGAGCTGATAAAGCAGATTACTTTTCATTGTAATGTGTACTGATCTTTTGTACAGATAAAAGTTAAGATTAAATAATTGTTGTGTTGCTAAATCTGTGCAAAACAATAGGAAAAAATAGGCAAAGAGTGCAGGAAAACAAATGTGTGTTTTTTATATTTGATAACATTTTAGTACATGAAGTACATCATAACCAGTGGTTGTCAATCTGGGATTGATCTGGATTGACAGTTTTACTTTATAACCTTAGGTATGCAAATCGTATAATATCCAAGTTAAACATTTCTAGTAATTGTGCCGTTCATTCTCATATTGTATTTTCAGAAAGTTTTGGAATATTTGTCCTCTCCCCAAATTTGTCACTACCGAAACACAGTAATAAAAATTTAATTAGAAGGGTTATATTGACCTATTAAGATTTTGCTTACATCTACATTGTAATGTATATATATTTGCTCTTTTATTAAAGTTTTTTTCAGAGGTAAATAAATAAAATTTTTAACTATATTTCAATCGGAATATTTGAGATTTGTTGTATTTTGAATCCATTTTTTCTTTGTAAAAGGCAAAAAGTTGATCATATACTGATTTCAAAGTTAAGGATTCATTAGTTTGAATATACATTGAACCAAAAACTATCATAACATCTTAGTTGATAATTCAGTATACTTTATTTTTGACAAAACATCCCATGTTTGGGTAGTGACTGCACATTTTCAGTAGTGACAGTAATGCTTCGGTAGCAACCACATCACATTACAGAATTTTAACTTGCATACTAAAATACTACTAAAACACTAAAATACAAAAATAATTGCATAACTGTACTAAAATTTAGTTTATTTCCCCCAAATATGAGGATTATGTGCTCCCTTTTCTCACTACCAAAACAATGATGACATGTTTCAGTAGTGACAATTCTATGGGATAACACCCCAAAAAACAAAGATGCCACTATACTGAAACTTCACTAAATGTTTCAGTAGTGACAATTTTAGATACTTTTGAACCTAGCTCAAAGATGCTATTCAGATTTTTCAAATTTTGTTACATTTAACACACTTACCTCAAAATGATGGGACATACACCTTGTTGCTATGAGAGAGGGGGACATAAATATTTTCTGATCATAAATTTAGGGTTGTGGTTAAAATCAGTCTCAGCCAATTGACTAAAACATACACCGTCTTGGTAGTGACATGAAAAACGTGGGACACATTATTTTTTTTACATAAAATTTCATAATTGACGAAGAAAATATAAAATAAATATTTTTTTGAACGTCACTTTTCAAAAGAATCAAAAAGATACTTTTAAAAACAACAATGGAAAAAAAAATTATTTCAATATAATTTTCATAAGTTGAAATTTAGGGGTTAGGGTTCGGACAAGTTTACAAGTTCAGACAAAGTTTATTCAGGTTTATTATTTTTTAATATAATTTCCTTTAACTTTAAATAAAGAATCTCCAGTTCCATGTCCACTGCAGTTCAGATCTGTTGGATTCAGGTTTTATCTATAAATAAATGGAAACAACATCGCTAAAATCGTGCATTTTGTATTTCTATTGCATCCTAAATATAGTCATGAATAATTATTTAGTAGGATAGAAACGTATTTATTATTTATCCATATTATTTATGGATAATTATATGATTAATCTTACATTAATAATCAATTCATCGGCACATTCTGGCAGTGTTTTTAAAGTGAGAATCTATCCAGCTCATAGCCAGTGTAACTTCATGTTCTGCTCTGAATTAGGAGTAATAAATACATTCTGATTCATCTCCAAATCATTCCTTAATCAGTGCTTCTCTTACCGTTATTCTCCACCTCGAAGTCGTCTGGCAGCAGTTTGTCTTGCCGGTTGCCCAGAGTGAAACCGCACGCCACTGAGTACAGTCTAGTTTTACCGAGCAAACAGCAGAAACGGCGAGAAAGACCGTGGCAGCTGCCACGAAATGTGGCAGCTGCCAGAAATGACTAGTGGCAGCTGCCAGAAACGACTAGTGGCAGCTGGGGATGCCACCGGAAGTGGCGCTGCGACCTGCCGCTGCCAGGATTTGCGCCTGCTCTCTCTCCCAGGATGCTGATAATGCCTAAAATATAAGCCCGGCGAATGGTGCAGTTCCCCGGCGTGTACTTGTTCGTCCGCTCGCCACACATCTGCTTTACCTCCGGAGCATCCCAGCCGTCCGGATAAATCATGCAACCCATCACCATCAACACAGCTACAACATCAAGTGCAAAGATTATATTTTTCGACTTCTCCCTCTGTATAGAAAAATTACAATATCCATTTATTCAGGGTAGAGGCAATATTAAAATTTTCACGAATGAAAACGAGGTTGTGAGGGATAGACGCACAGTTCAAATGTTTTTAAATTCGCTGACGCAACAAATGCACTACCAGTCAAAAGTTTTTGAACAGTAATATTTTTTAATATATTTTTAAAGAATTCTCTCCGCTCACCAAGCCTGCATTTATTTGATCCAAAATACTGCAAGGAGAAATTATAAAAAATTAATTCTTTTATTTAGCAAGGGTGCTATAAATTGATCAAAAGTGATGATGAAGACATTTATAATTTTACAAAAGATTTCTATTTAAGATAAATGCTGTTCTTCTGAACATCCTATTCATCAAAGAAACCTGAAAAAATTATACTCAGCTGTTTTCAACATAATAATAATAAAAAAAATTTTTTTGAGCAGCAAATCAGAATATTAGAGTGATTTCAGAAGGATCGTGTGACTGGAGTAATGATGCTAAAATTTCAGCTTTGAAATCACAGGAATAACTTACATTTTAAAATATATTCTAATAGAAAACAGTTATTTTAAATAGTAAAAATATTTCACAATTTTACTGTTTTTGCTGTACTTTGGATCAAATAAATGCAGGCTTGGTGAGCAGAAGAGACTTCTTAAAAATCTTACTGTTGAAAAACTTTTGAATGGTAGTGTATGCCTTAAAATATGTCTTTCCAAAATATTCCCTGGTGCCAGAAAACTCAGAAAAAGATGTTGTGAAATTAATCTAAAAGTTTAAATGGATTCAGGCCAAAAAAGGAAATTATGTAATTGTTCTGTCCAAAGCTGTATGACTTTATTTCTACAGAAAAAAAAAAAACAAAGAAAAAAAATAGCAAGTAAATAAATCAATTAATAAAGATTTTTTCCCCTTTCCCTTTAACATGTTATTGAATAGACTGTGTGACTGTCCCTCACAGCCTGGTGATCGATAGCAAGCAAATAAACAAACAAGCAAATACATTTCTAACCTTATACAGGTGTCTACCCTTAATAAATAAATTAATAAACAATATTTCATATTTTGTTATTTTTTAAAACTGCTTTTATGTATTTATGCTTATTAGCAAGGCTAACTAAACACTTTGCACACCTGAAGATGTTTGCATCCATGCGCATATCTTGTACACACTTGCGGAGTTGCAGAAGAAGAAAGGACCCAAGCATACAATGGTGCCTTCAAAAAACATAGCAGTCCTAAAAGCCCCAGAGGGGATCGAACCAAAATCAAACACACTTCCTTTGCAGACCAATTCGGAGGTGATGGGGTTGCCAATACAGTAGTGAAAAAGCCCAAAGTATCCAGCCTGCGGCGTGTTAACACTGTCACCAATCCAGTAGGGCTGAATGAAGACCACCACCGTAATGATGGTGAAGAATATGGGGAAAACGACCCACAGGACACCGATGGCCCTGGCATTTCTCACATAATTGGTGTGGTAGATTTTGGCAGCCTCTTGGGCTGGAAGCATCTTCTCATTCGCCATTATTAGACTTTCACTTATCCAGCGAGATTAGAAGTCTGTAGATATTTTTCAAGAAGAAACCAGACCAGATGAAAAGCTAGTTCAGAATCCAATGCCACGGACAGCTCTTATTATACTGTAGCCAAGGCCTTTAGTTCAACGAAACGAATTAAATCTGCTTTTTTCAAAGAAGTCCAAAGGCTAGGGAGACCGTCACCAGTGGAATAGTGTCTGAAACAACGTTGTTGCCAACAAAGGTGTCAGTTTTTAAATTATTTATTATTATTGGGTTTATTATAATATTTGGGCTACGATTATTATTGAGTTTTACTCCCAAAATGTTTTTTTTTTTTTTTGCAGGAACCAACTATGTTGTCAAAGTCTGTTCAGTGTCTGTGTGAGAGGACCCTTGACATGTACTATAAGCATCAAGTTCATGGCTTTTTTATTGATATCTCTGTGCTTAGTGGTTGTCCTTTCTGATCCTAATGGCTTTATCATCAATCTGGTAAAACGTCAGACAGCAGGGAAAAAACATGCATAATGCAAATGCTAAAATCTTTTTTTTTATAAATGTTTTGATCATTTTTTAAAAGAAGTATCTTATTCTCAACAAGGCTGCATTGATTTGGTATGCGTTGATCAAAAATCCAGTAAAAACAGTAATATTGTGAAATTTAAAAGAACTGTTTTCTATTTTAATATATTTTAAATGATAATTTATTCCTGTGATGGCAAAGCTGAATTTTCACCAGTCAGTGTTTATATTGATTAATTGAATGCATCCTTGCTAAATAAAAGTATTAATTTCTTTGAAAGAAATCTTACTGACCCCCAACTTTTGAACAGTGGTAGTGTATAATGGTGAATAAATTGGATAATAAAGAAAAAATAAAACACTTATTTTATTTATTTATTTATTTATTGGTTTGGTTGTTTACTTTTTCGAAGTTTTAGCTTACGTTCTAAAAACAACAGTGTCCACCAGGACAAGCGGAAAGAGAGAATAAAAGAGAGATCATTGCTAATGAGGTTAGTATAGTGATATAAATAAACAAATGTATCTTTGTCAGGAATTTATTGCTCAAAAGGGAATTTGTCAGACAAGACAGTCAACAACAAAGTCTGCACTCTGATGTTTGCGTTCCTCTTGGGCGTGATGTGAAGCCTTTGCTTTGTAGGTCAAGAATTACAAAGATATCAAAGGCGCTGCCAGCCTGATATGTAAACAGAACCCTTGAGCATCACACAATGCTGCAACAGCAATGCAACATCTGTTCAACTGCAATAGATTTGATAGTGCACAAAGAGATCTTAAGAGACATTTACAGCTATAAATGCATGCTATAAGCCTTTCCGCAATTATGTAACAAAACCTTTCACAATGCACAAGCTACATTTTGCACTACAGCATCATTCCCTGACAAACTGTGAGTTTCTATTACAGACCTCTGTAAAGTATACATTTCAAAACATGTCTATTATGCTCAATGATGAGATTTCGTGTTTTTATCAAAAAGACAAAACAAGTCACATGCCATTTCTGCCTTGGGTGTCCACCAGAATGTGCCAGATCTATGATTAGTGACACACACAGGCTTCTGCTGCCACTTTGCTACTGTGAAACATCAGAATCAAAATGGAGAAAAGGAACAGGTACTGGATCATCTTAAAGCACAAAGAAATACGAAGCAACGAAGGTGGGTTGTGACAAACTTGATAAAAAATTGATTTGTCCCACCACAAATGTCTCTGGTCCAATAATAAACAGGCCTACATGGCACAGGTCAAGTCATTATACTTGGGCTTTAAAGGAAACCTCTGCCAAAGCTAAACACACATATACCTACATGGAGACTATTTTTGTATCATTTATCAAGTGACCTTAATTTAGTATGCAGTGAGGAGCTTAACCACCAGATGGCTGCCTCCCATCAGAAATTATATAGGATGCCCTATAAATAAAATTACACAGCAGCTGTAAATATACCAGATGAGTTTTCCCCATGAGCACAGCATCGTCAAAACACACCAGCAGAGATTTCAATGAGGATGTGTGTTCACAGCAGGCGTGGAAGAAATCAACTTCCACTTGTACACTTCCATTGTTCTGGAATATAATGATGTTTTCTAGCATGTGATGTCTGTGCTTCACAGGCCTGAACTAAAACTTGCATACAAATCAGGCACAAGCTTTACTGTGGTGTAGTAAATGTCAGTTGCATTGTGTAGCTTTGGTCGTGCATCGTATGGACCTCTAGAAATCTCGCGATTTTACGGTGGCGCACCTTGAAGTAACGCATTTTTCACGCAGGTTATCCGCGGCATGTGCATTTGCATTTTTATCAAAATAGTCCATTGACTTATTGTATGTCGTTTATTGGCCAAACCTGACGTGTGAAGTAATGGATGGACTATATTACTCAGACACAGCAGTGTGCTGTAAAGGTATTTGATAAATATGATCCCTGGGCTTTGTCGTTTTGCATATGCAACATGATTGATCTTGTTTACTTTGTAGCCGCTCCTCTGCGCTCTTCAGTTTGGCTTCAAACACACACACAAAGAATATGGAATATTTGATTAGCGTTTATGAAAGCTGTATAATGAATGAGGTAACGTCCAACATCTCCACCATCTGCTAAAATTCACTTATTTACTTCATTGTGTATGTTGTGTCGAATATAAATAAGCGCGTCACAAAAAAGCCTCGATTTGGACAGATTTTCTGAAACAAGAATTAAAATATAGTTCAGATCGGATCTCTTTTAATTGTGGGTTAATGGTAGTTTACATCTAATCTAATCTAAAATGTACATTTTAAAGGGTATAGCCTAGCCACATATTAAAAAGGCCTGGTTATCCTTTGGGTTTTAGTGGGAATTGATGTGCATAGAAGCAGCAAGAAAACTCATTAGTATATTTAATTAAGTTTTTATTCACAGAGAACATTTGCAACATTTATGTATTTACCAAATGTCACTAACATTTTAGTCAAAATGTACAAAATCGCCCTAACAAAATTATCTAATCTAATGATTACTAAATGTAACAGACCTATAGCATTTTCGAGTTAATTCCTCCACAAAATAATGGCTTTTGTGGGAATGGAATAGTAGGCTACTGTGTTGCATACTGCACAGTATGAAGTGTAGACTACTTAGCAGTATGCTGTTGTGACCTCATTTTGTTGCATGTTTAATCCAGCAAGTGCCATCTAGTTGTCATCTCAGAAAAGTGTGTCTAATGGTATAAAGTTAACCAATAGCCTGTTTGACCGTTGATTAGCAAACTGCTACCATAGAAGGCTCATGAACTAATGGGTAGCAAAAGCACTACTGACTCTGGTGAGGACTGTTAATCTTATGTTGGAGTATAAAGTAACCTTGCTCAATAAGCACTAAAAAAAAAAAAAA